AAAAAAAAATTTTTTTTTTTTTTTTTCCCATTCCAGGTAAAACGAGATACGTTAAAAAGTTTAATTGTTTTCCCACCAATTTCTAACGAGAACAACAACAAAGACAATGTCAACAAAGAAGTTACATGGGCTGATGTATTTACTTGTCTCCCTCCCTCCCCTGACTGGGTTAGGCTCTTTCCCAACCAATAACCTTCAAAAAAAGCCAATGAAAAACACTTTAATGAAGAATGCTTATAGAAAAAAAAATGCATGTCATGTAATATGAACTTACAAATCTTGAAAGACAGTCTATGTCTTTGTAAAAAAGCAAGAGTTGCTTTTATGTACGCACAAATGTCACACATCTAACTGTTGTTTGTTTTAGAGCAAAGCCAATTTGGGCTAAATGCTGTGTCAACTGTGGGAAATCAAACCTCGGATTTTAGCGTTGTAAGTCCGAGGGGCCACGTATAACTAAACCAGGCTGTAACTTGCCATAGATAATTATGAAAGTATTAAGAATTTCATGTCGAATAAAAGTTTCATTTTGAAACAGAGCTGGGCGATTTAATCAATTAATTACTTACGAGCTGCGATTAAAATTGTCAGTGTCACAAAAAACATTGATTCGATTAACGTTATGAAAATAATCAACATTAACCACCATTAATCAATCTTCATTAATCGAAATTACGGTTTAATTAATTATCATGAAAACAACCAACTAATCAACATTAGTTGTTCCAATTAGTACTACTTTTGATTGTTTGAACTATTGAAGTAATCGAAATATTGCCACTATGTTTGTTTCTTAAGCATAAAGCTACATAGTTGACTATCTGTGCTCTGCAATTTGTGGGTATCGAAACCCGAGTTTAGTGTTACAAGTTTTCTTTACTTCAAGCTTGTTTTGCATTGAGCCAGCATGGCCTGGGGATTTGGTGAGGGCTCGTGATTCAATGGTTTAGGATTCGATTTCCATTGCCACCAAACTGGCTCACCCTGTCTTTTTCACGACAAAGCTACTAAGGCTATCTGCCACTTGGGCTTATTTCTTTTCTTTTTGTGCTCATATGGGGAATGCATACCATGATTTGAAGAACACCATACTAATAGATTAGCAAATATCCCTAAAACAATGAAAAGTTCTGAAAGTTAAAATAATTTCTTTGTCATAAGCACGTATGAGATGATCCCTATTATGTGTTGATTTGAATGCCTTGAACTTTTCTAAATGTATGTTGGTGTTGTGTTACTGAGTCAAATGTATATAAATATTCCTTGTATTTATTAGTTTCTTGTATTGTGTAACAACAATGAAAACTAATTTGAAATCTAGAAATCCAATATTAACAGACTTCATTTAATTCATACCGAGAACAAAGTACCATTAATTTTCACTAAATAAAACCCTTGTTTCAACTACAACACAGCAGTAAAATATTTTATGAATGAAATGTTATCTAGTGATACAAAGTTTAAATAGAAGCTAAATCACTGGCAATGCCTGTACACAAAATTACAGCTGTTTATAGACATCATCATACACTGAAGTAAATATATTGAAATTATAATGGAGTAATGTAATTCCTATCCCTGTTTTCACTGAGAAACATGAGATAACTAATGTTATTTAAACTGAGTCTCCAGCTTGGACATGCTATTAGGATACAGTCACAATATAATAATAAATTCCAATAAGTACAATGAGATTGATTTTTTTCCTCAGAATATCACAATTTGCATTTACAACTCAAGTACCCACATAATACTATCCAGTCAGCTGCTAAAATGACTTTTTAATTTCTTAGAGCAGTTTCTTAAACAGCCTCATATTCTGTGATTATTAAGAGCTGGACTAGGATAGAGAGACTAGGAGGACCAATTGGAGATGAACACAATACTCTAAGGCTTGAGATGGCTAAGAGAATCATATGCATGGCTTAATAATATAAAACTCATTACTTCAACTATTTCTTTTTATTATGCTCCATGCATTACCACATACTCTCCTTTAATATTTATCAGAAGCATTTCCAAGTTCATTCACAGCATAGTCTTGATTATTAGATTGTATTCATACTCAGCAATATGTGCTAAAATTCAGTGGAAACAGACTTGCTTGTTCTGCTGACATTTCTGGGTGTAAGCGATTAACTACCTTTTCACCTTCCAGCACCGCTACGACAGCATTCTCGGGATTGGCATGGAGTAGGTCAGGAAGAGGTTTTTTCCATTCACTTTGTTCTTGATCTACATGAAGTTGCAACTGTTCAAGAGGAACCACTGAGTTTAGAATTGTATTAGAAGCATTATACTTGTAAAATTTAGAGCTTAATAACCTATCATTATTAAATTTCTTACGATAACTTCCATAAGCTCTTTCGCTTCTGTGTTGCCGAGGTAATTCGGGTGTCGAAGTTAGAGAAAAACTGTCATGAGAAAGAGCTATTCCATTATCAGGGTGTGATGTAACCAAAAGAGGGTGCTGGTCATAACCACTAGAAGAAGAATGTTGGCTGAGATCAGAGTGCTCTCCATAAAGGTTGTGTGAGCAGACAAAACGATGACTAGCTTGTGAGTAGTCATGATAATCATGATGCAAAGATGACACTGTGTTATTATCAATAGATTCATAAATATGTTCTGGATAAGTACTGTACTTATCTGAAGAGTCAGAGTAATTCCGATATGGGAAATGTTTATGTCTGTCTTGCAAGGAGTAGTGCCAGGCAACAGTAAGAGGACTGCCTGTAAAACCATACAATTTTTCAAGAACTTCAGAGCTACATCCACTTTTTGAAGCATTTGGTAAAGATTCTGTACTCAGTGGCTGAGCATTATCTCCTGATTCTTTTTTCCGAAGAGATCCGGTGTCAGAGCCCCTTTTCTCCTGGAATTTATTTTCCTGGTTGGTAGTGGTAGATGGGTGACCTACTGGAAAAGGAAAAAAAAAACAGAAATGAACTTGACTTAAATATTTTACAAATGAAAATAAAAGCCCTTAAATTATAAACTCACATCTACAACTTATAGGGTATTTGTGAAATTTGCTAAATAAATGTACTGCAACTCTGAAGACAGCTTTCACATTAACTTTGGATCCTTCACTTCTCAAAACATAAGCTTGTTCCTCTTTTTTAATGACTGAATATTTCCTCCTAGTAAGATTATTTGAACTTTGAATAAATCTTAACTCTTGTCCAAAACATGAAATAAAAATACTGAAAAGTTTTTTTCAATAACCTAAAAATATCATCCTGAAACTCATATGACTTTAATGTAAAAACATATCTATACAGCCTACTAATTTGTTCTTATCAAGACTAAAATGGCCAGATTGTTAGGGCACTTGACTCGTAATCTAAGGGTTGTGGGTTCGAATCCCCATCTCACTGAACATGCTCGCCCTTTCAGCCATGGGGGGTGTTATAATGTGATGGTCAATCCCACTATTTGTTGGTAAAAGAGTAGTCCAATAATTGGTGGTGGG